ACGTTCGTAGCATATCAGGTTTGGGAGATATTCTACAAAACATAAGGGGGGCAACTTAATGCCCCCCAGCGGCTCGTGGTAACGATGAATCAGTCTATTTTATGAACATGAACACATTAGCGTTTGATTTATCGTTCTGACAAAACTCACCATAAAAGAGAACACATTTGAGATTATTCGTGTTATTTTTGTGTATTTATGTGAATATTTGAATGGGCAGCAAAAATTGTGTCGTATTTAAGGAGGAGCCAATGAATGAAATAATTATAATCGACCAACAAAATCACAATAATGCAGTCACTCACCGTTTGTTTGTTCCAAGAGGCGGCCGCACTCCATGGCAGGAGGTCGGTGGCCTCGTGGGGGCACAGGGCCTGCGTGGTGGCCGCTGCCACCGAAACCAGCAAGAGAGCCGCCAGAGTCATGGTGTATCCTGGTGGGTCTGGCCTTCTACCTGATGCTTGACAGTCGCCTGGTGTCCCTGAAATAAAGTTTGTATCACACAGTCAAATGAAGGAATACAGGTTCACCTTTGCAGCAATTCACTGTCTTTTGAAAGAACAGAGGATTTCGAGGAAAAGAGCACGTGACTCTAACTCAGTGTTTTCTGGACGCAGCGCAAAACCAAGTCAATGACCTAATTCAATATACCTACCCTGGCCTTGCCTTGGCCATTGATGCTCCAATTTCGCCGCAAACCGTGCCAGTCTATATTCTGGTCCATATAAGTATTTTCCCATAGTCCCATAACAGCTAATAGCTTCGTAAATGTAGACCTTTCGCATTGTTCTAGTCTTGAGCTTGCTGATGCCTAAGTTTATTCACATTGCAAACCTTTCATTAGCTGATTGAGTAGACCTTTATGTGAATGGCCAAGAAGGGATAGCTTCTGAAGACCACTTTGAAAAAGCAGCGTGTAAGGGAATAAGAAAACAAGCAGTATTTTACCAAATCCAAATTGGGTTGGACGTTGAGCCTAGAGCAAACAATCTGCGCCAAGCATCTTTTCAACAATGTCCGGTGGTAAAGTCCAGAATGCGTTCGTTTCTGCTCGACTGCTCGTGCTTACCGTAGCCATGATATCATTGTGTTTGATTGGTTACTACAGATTTGAGCTGTACATAAAAAACATAATCATTCATGAAAGCACAATGCAAGATATAGAAGAAGCGTGGTTCGATATGTCAGTTTGTTTCGGACCCAAGTACAGCCTCGATACAATAACGTTATACCTGATAACAAACGAGCTGCGTCAGGAATATCCCGATGATTGGAAACAGATGTTGGCAGAAGCACATCCCGAAGACATTCACATGCACGAAGCATCGGCAATCAACAGCATTGAACAATACCGAGATTTTTTCCTCTATCAGTTTAACTGGTCCGTCGATAGCATGTATGACGTCGGAAAGGCCGTCAACATAGACAGTCTGGGTGTCGGATGGTATAGGCATCTGTTCCGCAGCAACGCAACGAAATTTAATGTAGACTTCAACTTCCTCAGCTTTCGATACAGCTGGTGTTTTAACTACACATACACTCATATGTTTGCAGGACACGAGGCTGTTGACGGTGAAAAGAAAAGCCTGAATACCGAAGACCCTTTTCACCAAGTAGGCCTGTATGATCATCAATACGATTGGTATTTTGACGGAAACAAAATTTCGGAATATGTTGACATCTATGTTTATCCGAAAGGACATGAATTTGAGTATCCGTTGATTGAAGACCATGTTCCTTTCCGAATCGACATGTCAACATGGCAAAGATTGAGAGCAAGTGCCAGAAAAGTGGTACGACAAAACCGACAAAATTTCAATTGTATCGCTCAGGAAGAGCTGCCTGAAAATACGACATATGTGTACAACCTGTGCCTAACCTGGTGTCTAAGGCGCACGCTACTCAACCATGCAAGATGCACCATCCCAGAACTGGATCACTTCATATACAACTTCACACACGTACTGGAAATATACCTGGCCTCGCCGCCCGCGAAGCGTGGCCCTCTGCGTAGCAGCCTCTACTTCAACAGTGACACCGCGTGGCCGTGGATGCAGGACTACCTGTACCTGAAGCCGTGCGACTCGGCGCAGTCCTTCCGCGAGACGTTCGATGTGTTCGAGATGACGTTCTTCCCGCGCGGTGACAAGTTCGCTATGAACGCCTCGTGCGGAACCGAGTGTCCGCCCGACTGCGTCGAGTACCACGGCCTGCTGGCCACAGAGGGCACCGAGCTTCATCCGGCCACCGAGCGCATTCACGGTGTCACAGTCTACTTCAACGCGCGCGTGGAGGAGATTCACGAAAAGTGGAAGTACACCATCTCGCAGCTACTGATCGACATCTCTGGTGTGATGAGTTTCCTGCTGGGCCTGTCGCTGGTCGCCATCCACGAGTGGTGCTTCATCCTGATCAAGTGGCTGGTGGAGCGCAGCACGTTCCGCCAGGGGCCGCTCGACCTCGAGCCGGCCTACCTGCGCGACGAGCTGCGCTACGACGACTACCACGAGTACGACGACGACTACTATTACCGGGACGGACAGCAGTCGCCGCGTTCGCACCATTCCAGAGACTACGACTACTACTATGATGACTACGGAGGAGAGTATGACTCCTACGATGACTACGGCGAACCGTACTATGATGACTACGGTGACGAGAGCTTTGACTACGCCGGAGATGAGAAGGTTCTGGACGCGGCACACTCTGGAATTATGTTTGATCAGGCCTCGCTAATGGCAAGCAGGGAACTCCATACCAAATCATCACACTTGGCGCCCTGAGTGCGGGAAAGCATCAGAAAAGGTGTGTGAAATATGTTGCTGGTGCATGACAACAAGAAAACAGCAGTGTCACTTACATTTGTGCCGGGTGCTCTACAATGTAAGTAATTGGAGAGAGCAGTGTTTAATTCGAAGTAGTCATTAACTTCCTAAATGTGTCAATGTCCAGTGTCAACCAGTACACTGCTGTTATGCTGTCTGTGATTGTATTTGTGTCTGTGTGCCTTTGTGTGATTTCCCTACGTTTGGTAAATAAAGTTGAATACGTTGTGGACTTTCTGGCTAATCTTCTTAGGTTTCAGCTCGTACAGCAGCAGATGTTTAGAAATCAAAATAACTTTTCCCAGCCCTGCTGACGTCCGAGGCAATGCGCTCCACCATCTTCAGGTCACCAGGTCACGTCGACTAATAGCCTGACCTCAAGAAGACGTTGAATGCCCGCCGTAGCTTTATCGATACCACATGCCCGTCAGGTCATCGTAGCACGTAGGTCATGAAAGGTCGCCAACAGTCGTAGAAAAAAAAAACATTAACAACTTTTTCTCACAAAACAAAGAAGTTCACTTTTAATGAAAAAGCATTTTAAGAGCACAAAACATAACTATTTGTAAGTTATCATTAAATTCATAAACATATATACACTCTTATTTACCTACGAATTATGTGGTAAGCCAAAGCCGCACTCAAGGATAAGATCTTAGTTTTTACGCAGATATTTGTATCATGTCTTACCGTTTGCTGATGTTTTGAGATCTCAAAAGAACATTCCTTTTAGGGGTTATTTCCAGTTGACTTTTCATTCGATTTGAGTTTTCTGTCCAGTGATTGAGTCGCACTGTCCTCTGTTTTGTTGGTCAGAACTCGGGCGGTACGCCATTCACCAGATCAGAGCTCAAACTGAATGTCAAGTGCTCAGCGAGGTGCATCTGTGAACAGTCCGCTGCCAGCCTCTGGTCCGATGATGTTTTGCCAGTAACCGAGCTCACTAAACCAGTTGGCTCCAGAGCCCCTGTGACGTCAGCAGCAGAGAGCCTCTAGCAACGTAAACGGAGCTGCGGTACATACCCGGCCGACGCGACGGCGTGGCAGCTGGTTCAATGTTTACCCAATGAGTACCTAACACAGATCAGACAGCCTGATACAATGCTTCTGCGTGGCCTCCCTCGCCCCATCGTTCTGGTAAATTTGATAGCAATCCACAAAATGGTAGTTGTCATTTCTAAGAAAACTGAAATGTGCAGGCCGCTTGCGGGTTGGTAGGAAAGAAGGTGGCATCGTTCCAGAAATTGCACCTAACTCGTCACTTGTTCTTGGGTTCCTTCAAAATGCCAATTTCTCCGTTTCTCTGAAATAAATATAACTGAATTTACTTTTACGTTCGTTTGTTTTATCGTTCCGGTAAAAAATCACCTAATGTTATTATGTATCTCACACTCAATGAGGCATACATACATTTTTCGGACATCGAGACAGCGAGATAGTAAGCCGCCACTTCAAATGAACAAAACCACCAGCTCAGCGGCCTAACGAAGTTAAATTCACCGATCGAGTGGGCCGCCAGCTCCAATGACAACTAACCGACAACAATATGCCACCAAAAGTGAAGACACGAGAAGTTATTGGCCGCTGCGCTAACATTCCTCCGTTGCAGAATATTTTAACGTTGATCCTGGATATGGGAAAGAAGGGACAGGTCATGCACATTGCAAATGCACATATACCTATGACATATAAATATACAGGGCTCAGGAAAATCATCCATGAATCTCACTTCTCACCCATTTCTTACACTTTAATCTCACCCATTTCTTACACTCTGATCCATCCCAATCACTTCATGGCCAATCACGCAGGATGTCAGTTTTTCACTCGTTACCCACGCCAGATGCTTATCCAGCATCCAGTCTTCGCTCTGATGGTTGCCGATCCGGGATCCCTCTCCCCTTCCCTCTCCTTCCATGACCGGGCCAGTCTGTCGCCATGCACAGATCGGAAATAGGGGGGAGGTCAGCAGGCGGGGGAAGGGCCTCATCGGAATCGATCCACATCGGCGGCGGCGAAGGCAGTGGCGGCCTCCGACGACCGACGGGGCCACCACCACCACCGACGACGGCGGCGTTCGATAGCAGTGCGCAGACGCGCCTCCGCCGCCGCCGCCGCCGCCGGAAGTTGCCCGAGATAGGGCGGACGGCTGTGGGGCGGCGGTGGGGCGGTGACGGGCGGTGGTTGAGCGTCTGACGGGCGGCTAACGGCCGGTGCGGGGTGCGATACGGTGGTGGGTGACGCGCTCCTTTCACGGCGGTGACGCGTAGGAAGCGGAGGCGCCATGGCAGCCGACGGTGCCGCCAGCGAGGGTCAGGAGACCAGCGTCGAGGCGCTGCGCAAGGAAATCGAGTCACTCAAGGTCAAACTGGATGAGGAGCGACAGAAAATGAACGATGTGACACGTGAGTACGGTCCCCGGCGGCGGCTCCACCACTCCCAGAGATATTGAAGGAGAGTACCTTATGTGTTCCCGGTATAATATTACGCCAAACATGCTAAAGGTGGTAAAAGCCAGCCACTCCAATAGTCCTCTTGCAACAGCCAGCTATCATGCAGCCAGCTGACTGTGCGACGTGCGTGGGTACGTTTAAAGGTTACCGTCTAACGACTAAGGATAGACACTCTCGTCTGTCGTAATAATCTATACTTTCTTTACGTGATATGTATGTAACCTTTTCAGTGAACTTGCGTTGTGTGCACGCGGATGTTATTTGCACCTTTCTAAATGAACTGTCATGGCTCGAGTTTCCCCTAAGCAAAGCAAACCCTCTCAAGGTACAAGGCATCGCGTCAGCGCTGGCGGCCTCTTTTATTAGAAGTAGCAGACACAATGAAAAGTATCTTTAAGTAGGTACAGATGATTGCCGCGCTGTCGCTAATGCAATTGACATTTCCCTTGCCAAAACCCGGCCACTGATTATTCCTGATACTTCATTGGAAGTCTAGCCGCATGTGACGAAGGAGGATTCTTGATTCTTGAGTCTTGTTATTCGGTTTACGGGCTTCCACAAATAACTTCGCGCTACTATTTATTGGACACGAACCAATTAGGGAAGAGAGTCAGGATTTTCCGTCACAGGTGCAGTGATAACAGATTTTGCTATTCATCATCTTTGACTGCAAAAGGTTACTATCATATAAGGCTGTCTGTATAGGTTGGCCTTTTGGCCTGGAACAAAAGCAATAGTTACTAGCAAAAAGTAACAATAGGAGCTTCAGTCTTCGGTCAAATTTTTCGTCCTCGTAGTGCTAAATGCCGTTAAATGGGTTAGATATATAAATGTCTTTTTCTGTGCTAAGTACAAACGTTAGTTTTCTTTCCAACAGAATGGTCGTTTCCACACACAGCTCTCGGTGTTCCACAAGCAAAAGTTATAAACGTCAATATTGTCTAATGTCTTCCTGTTCCTGTGGATCTTCGACATTTGCCCATTTGTCATTATTTCAGTGGACAAGGTGGCAGGGCGACTGGAGCCATGCGGGCCGCTCAACATCAAGTCGCGTCGCGTCCTCAAGGGCCACCAGGGGAAGGTGCTGGCTCTCGACTGGTCACTGGACAAACGTCACATCGTCTCCTCCTCACAGGTGGGTCTGTGACGTCCTCACACGGCAGTGACGTAATCTGTGCGTCGGCGCTAAGGTGTCCGGTAAACACGGGGTTCTCGGGTCACGGCGCCCGTCGGCTGGGGTTCGTGCCAGGATAATTTGGGAGGCCCAGGGTAGAGGAGGGAGGAGAGAGAGAGAGAGAGGGGAGGAGAACGTGTTTGGACTACCGGTTCTGGAAGTCCCAGATCCGGCCGCCGCGGCGTCAAGAGGTGCAAACAATTGTATGACGAAATGTCAAGCAGTATGAAATCTGTATGTGATAGTGATGCGCAGTTGTAAATGATTATTGTCAGGCATATTTGAGAGCTGAGTGGTGGTCGGAGGATGCATAAATGTTAGGTATGCTGCTCTAATTCGGTACCTGTAGGTAACCTGAGACCATGGCGGGTCATGAAAACTAAAAAACTTTCATGCAGCTTACTGCTTAGTAAGAATAGTAGCGCCCACAAATACACGAGTTCCTCGAATTGTACCATTATGCTAAAAATAAACAAACCGGATTTCTGAATGTCAAAGCCCGAAACAGCATTGACTTAAACTCTCTGACAGCAGCCGCCGGCGTTTCCAACACAGACATCTAACACATAAGATCTCCACGGTTCACAGGACGGCAAGATGATCCTGTGGGACGCATTCACCACCAATAAGGAACACGCCATCACTATGCCGACCACCTGGGTAATGGCGTGCTCGTACGCGCCCAGCGGCAACGCCGTCTGCTGCGGGTCAGTACCGAATGCGTAATGTTACAGGAGTGCTGCTACTGTCAGGGCAGTGGCACGCATAAGTACACTGCTTTCAGAGACGTGAGACCGAATGACGCATGTTATATTTATTCCTTATATACGAGTAAATTTTGCATTTTTTATGTACATGCATGCCTAATGCATATGACAACTTTGGCTAAAATGGACAGGGAGCTTGGCAAAGGCTGGACATCATCTTTGCCCAAATGAGGTTAGGTATAGTGTGTTATTATGTTAATTTCGGGTCAAATAGTATATCCTTGGGGGTATTTTTGAGCGTCGTCTTGCTCTTATCGTCTGTCGAACTATGAATATGTACCTCCCACGCCGTGGTGGGATCAAAACTAAAAGTACTTAGCCGCTTTACTCGTACACTCAGATGAGCCGGAGCCGGAAGAGACGGAAGAGTCGAAGATCAATCAAAATTTGTTCATAAATCATTTAAAAAAAGTTTTATCCAACTCCACGGTCAGAACCGAACAAGCAACAGTAGCCTATTATTTGTCAATTATTGAATGCAACATCGTCCCGACTTTCCCGACTAGCAGAATGTACTAACTTCTCGCCCCTGTTCTGACAGCGGCCTGGACAACAAGGTGACCATCTACCCGCTGAGTCTGGAGGAGGACATGTCGGCCAAAAAGCACACGGTCGGCACGCACATCAGCTACATCTCGTGCTGCTGTTTCCCCAACTCTGACCAGCAGATCCTCACGGGCAGCGGAGACGCCACGTGCGCCCTCTGGGACGTCGAGTCCGGCAGTCTGCTGCAAAACTTTGTCGGACACACGGCAGACGTGATGACACTCGACTTGGCGCCCTCCGAGACGGGGAATACCTTCGTGTCGGCGGTAAGCGGACGATTTTGATGTTGCAACCTTGGAGGTTTTGGTCACAAAATCAGTTCTTGAAGCCCGAGTGGTCGTTCAGGTCGGCAAAATGTTAATTTTTCGCGTAAAAATTGAAATCGTCTCGTAGTCTAATTAGCTAGTCCAATTAGTAGTCCAATCAATCATTAAAATCAGCTCGTAGTTCAAAAACCGCAGACATTCAGCAAATATCTCCTTGGGTACACCAGTGCTACACTAGTGCTCCCAGCAGCCAATAGATGGCGCTAGTGACTGACGCCTGTTAGTATGCTGTGCCGCATAACAGATAAGGATGACGACAACACCGATAGGCGTTACCACAGGTGTATTCGCGGCCATTGGGGCGACGTAAGAAAAGAAGAAAATAACTGGCCCCAATAACTTTAAATTATCAGGTAGCATGCACCTTTTCCTTGATATGTAGAGAATTTACCATTAATTGTGAGAGAAAATTGCATTTAAAATCTTCCATTTATGCTTTTTTCATCGTTTGCACAATATGTTATTTTACTATGTTAGAAACACTAATTAGAAATAGTTCCCGCATCATCGTCAAGAACAATAGGGAAGGCTTGAAGTGAATACAATAATCTAAACGGTTTTGTAATCTATGTGAAGACACTTCTAAAATTGCCTGTAGAAATAGTGATAACAAAAGTTCAACTTAATCACAAGACGGATGTCTATAAACCTATTCAACGTGTGACAACTCAGCCGGTATTTCGTCGACTACAGGCCAGCTTTCCCTAGTGACCGATAGAGGCGCTGCTATCGATGTCCGGCCGTGCCGCCTAACGACATTTCTATAATTACCAGGGGGTGTTGCAGTTGTAATTACCGACAATTGGTGGCTTGAGGACACATAATGCTTTTGAAATTAATATTTGCTAATTACTCAGATAGTACTGCCACGTAGATGAGGTTATAGGTAGGTAAATTTTCATTGTGCAATTGCATATAGTCGAATGGTGAGTCGAATGACAACGTGCTCTATAGCATGCTATTCCCATTAAATTTGCATTGTCATATGTGCTCATTTAATAACAAAAGAAGCGTGTCCTAATAAAGTTACTCGTATTTTTCTCATTCTCATTCGAGAACATGCTCGAGAGCACGTTATCACTAGACTCGCTGTTTGGCTATACATCTAAAATTAACCCTCTCTCTGACGCAGTGCTAGCTAGATAATCAGCAGACATTTTGTTTTGTTTGTTTGTTTTGTTTTGTTGGGTTAGGTCCTTTCGGTCTGACAAGACCATTGCAGAGCCGGAAGGATGATAGGAATTAGGGGGAGACATTGGTCTGGACAGGCACCCTAGTGAGTCGCCGGGGCTGAGCCCGTCCAGAGGACAGGCCACCTAGTCCCAAGGCACTCGCTGCACCCGGCTACGGGGTGCGCTCCCTCGGGAGCAGCGGTGCCGCTCCAAGTGAGCAATGAGATAAAGTTGCCTGTCCAGCCCGGAGGGGGGTTGCGGCGTGGAGGAGAAGGATATCTGTATCCTGAGGATAGAAGCACGGAACGGTGCAGCAGACATTGATTTCAAATGTGTTGCTCGTGACTGCAAGCCACAAGCCGTGAGTATAGCTACCATACCCCAGGCGCCATCTAGGAGAACGTTTTTCATCCTTATCTGCTATGCGGCACAGCATATCAACAGGCGTCAGTCACTAGCGCCATCTATTGGCTGCATGTAGTACTGCTGTGTACGTATGGGATGGGTGCCCGTAGCGCTATTTGCCGGTTGAATGCGGGCTACGGGCTTTTATCGTTTCGGACGAAATATTGCTTAGACATTTTCTGCCTAACCGTGGTGAACGACCACTTTGGCAACGAGCCATGAAAGCCGTCACTAGCCACTACCGAGAGGGAAGAGTGAGTTTCCTTGAGTGAATGTATTTCCTGATGCTCTCAATATTGGTATGTTTTTTTTTATAAACACGCAACTTTCGGAATAAAAAAGCATGACCAGAGAGCAACTTCCTGTTTTTTTTTTCAAACTGCAGAAATAATTGAAAAGGTTGTCTATTATCCGGGAAGTATGGAATAGGAATGAACGTCTTACGGTAAATATATAATCACATTTCTTCACTTATTTCTGTCAACACAGTTCTTGTCCAGTGTCCAGCCTTCATCAACACTCCTGAGTTTTAACCTTGTCTTTATGTCCCGTGTGGCGGCCAGGGGTGCGACAAGACGGCGATGATCTGGGACATGCGCACCGGCTCCTACGTGCAGACGTTCGAGGGCCCAGCTGCTGACATCAACACTGTCAAGTACTACCCCAGCGGAGACGCCATCGCCACCGGATCAGACGACGCCACGGTCGGTGAAAAAAGTGAAGGGGGAGTGGAGGGGTCGGCTGGAGAGGAGGGATTTCGGAAGGGATGGTGTGGGTGAGATGGAGGGAGGAAAGAAGAGTAGATGGGGGGGAAACGTTGAAAGAACGAACTAAGAAGGGAGCAGGAAACTTAACTCAACATGTCTTTTGAAGATCCCAGCTGACGCTGGATGAGCTTGTGTGACCTTTCTTTGTCTCATATTGAGCGTCTTTACTATCTTCGCCGTCCCTATGTTTGACCTTGTCTGACCTCATCTAGCCCCGAGGACTTCGTTTGACCTTAAACTCGGATGATCTCTTCTGACCTTGACCCCGGTTGACCTCGGCAGTGTCGCCTGTTCGACCTGCGCGCCGACCGCGAAGTGGCCTGCTACACGAAGGACAGTTTGATTTTCGGTGTGAACGCGCTCGACTTCTCGGTGAGCGGTCGGCTGCTGTTCGCCGGCTACAACGACTACACGGTGAACGTGTGGGACTCGCTGAAGGTGCAGCGCATCACCGTGCTGTACGGGCACGACAACCGCGTCTCCTGCCTCAAGATGAGCCCGGATGGCACCGCCTTCTGCACCGGCAGCTGGGACTTCACGCTGAAGGTGAGGGAGGGAGACCCAGAGCGGATGACGAGGCGCCCCGGGTGGAAAACCTATATGAGGAGTTGCTGGAGCATGATTTCTGAGGAGAAGTGAAGATAAAGCAGCTCAATGCTTCATGCATGACTATATATATAGCGAGATGTACGAGGCCTGTTACGTTCTTGCGCCTCAGCAAGACCAGTAAGACCGAAGCCGCGCGTTTCTATGCGTCCGGTGCTTCGTAACCTAAAATAGAACCACAAAATTTAATACAGTGATAGCTGATTGTTTCCTTCCCTGGATATGGATAATGCGTCCAGGAAGACGCTGACTCTTCTGGTCTATCTGCTCGCAGGTTTGGGCCTGAGCGCGGACATCTGGCGATGACGTGATCTGCCAGGGGTGTGGAGCCGCTCTGCCGAGACGCAAACGGGGGACCATCTGGACGGACATAAAGGAGGGACCAGCACAGTGGGCAGTCGAGCTCTGACACAAGCGTAGTGGTGCCGCTGCTTCTTCCAGTGGCCATAGTCAAACGGAGAAACGCACAACACGGCGCCGTTTTGCAGGCCGCCATTCACGCGGCCATCAGTGGGCTGTACAACGGACTAGTGACGCGCACAAGAATGTGTAGGTTCTACTTGCTGTAGGCGTGAGTGATGCGCAGGCCACACCCACAGAGGTGTAGACAGTGGTCAGGGAATGGTGTTGTCTGTAGGATATGTGGTGCTTTCTGCGTTGACATGGAGCAAATTTTTGCCCTCACTGACATTCGCTACTTTTCATCCTTCAGCGGCACAAGGGAAGGTGGCTGAAACATACGCCTTTCGTATGGCTCCTAATTAAGATACAGCTTCGCAAAAAAAAGTTTCTATCTAAGAGAGTAGACCAAAGGGTCTTGATTTGAAGGTCTCATGTCAACTTCTGGGTCAGGTTGAAGACCTGAAAATGTGACCTTGTTTTTTTTGGCAGAAAAAAAAAGATCCCAACACTCCTGGCAGAACAAGTTAACCTTCGCCCCAGTGGGGGGGGGGGGCATATGTTACCACCCTGTCGCGTTTTTTTTTTGCGTGTGAATAAAAAACCGCGGCGCGTAGTGCCGCGCTGCTTGGGGTAGCTTTTAATACATCAATTTTGGACAATGTGTGAAATATTTGACCCCAGGTTATGCCAGGTCAGGTCACCAGGTCAAGTTAACTGACCAAGCCTAAAAAAGTTTGCAATCATGTCCAGCCTGCAGTGTTTGTCAGAGAGGTTTTAAACTTGTTGGATTTCATGATGTTATGGGCGCCTATAATTTGTATATCTCGGATTTTTTATATCCGTGACCTAAGCTCAGGCCAGTGGCGTGACCCTTCCATTACAAGTCAATGGAGAAAAATGAAAATGCCTCTAGATCCGTGTGTACGCATAGGAACCGTCCAAATATTTCAGAATCACAATGATTTGGACCATTCGTGATGACCAAGGTGTCATTTTTTGCTGATAGCCTCTAGAAAGGTCATCCGAGGTCATTTGAGGTTACAAACATATGTTTGCCAATAACTCGCGATTGGAAAGAGATGGAACGCTGGGGATAGTGTCATTGTGTTTGTCTTGTTGTGACGCATCGACTGATATGCAGCATGACCTTTTTCCGTTCAGGTCATGACCTTGGCCTGAGGTCAAATTTTCAAGTTGACCTTTCAAGGTCAAATTATGGTTCATTCGACGCGTCTCGGCGAGAGGAACACGATTCTGGCAATAGAAATGCCGTGGCTGTTTTTAGTCGAAAGTTATTGTCGAAAAACACTTTTCGTAAAAAACAGCTATTTTTGGAGTTTTTGCCCTCTGGAGGCTAAACCGTTGACCTGAGGTCGATTTTGATAATGACCGTATTAAAAGAAGAGTTCAAAAATCGATTGATTTTCCATGCGTTTTTCTAGCTACCATAGTTCCTGAGATAACGGCATGTTTTCTGAAAAATATAATGACAATAGGCAAATTTTGACCTTTGATGACCTCTGGTGACCCCAATATTGCTCTAAGAAGAAAAATGACTGAAATACTTTCAAACGTACGTATTGAGAGCTATCGACTGCTTTTTACCGCGTCTTTCTAGCCCTCTTAGTTTTTGAGTTAGAGGTGGGTGGTAACATATGCCCCCCCCCCCCCACTAGGGCGAAGTTGGCTGAGACCGCCACTGGGGCGCGGGTTAACAACACGTTTGAGACGTGTCGAATTTTGAACTTGTTTTGGAGAACAGAACGGGTCAGGGCTGACCCCTGGTGAACTAATATTCATTTGGATGACTTAGACAGATTACAAGTCTTATATTTTGCTTCCCTCGGCGCTGAGCATGAGCGTTTACCGCGAATTTATTTCGCAAAAAAATCATTTATAAGCTCAGTGGAGCTAAAAGTTAAGATATCATAAGGAGTGAATAGAACTTGTTTAATATCTTAAGGGGTTGTATCGAGCTCCCTTCCACTGGGCCGGTTATGGTTAAGACGTAAATGGTGACTCAGAGGTTAAAAGTGTCGCAATGATAACTATCATACTGATCAGTCATTTCTCTATTTCATGAAGAACCTTATACGAATGCAACAGCTCCTAATGCCAAGGGCCAATCGGCTTACTCGATCGAAATTTTCACGGCATTTAGTGAAGCTTTCCGGCTACCCAGCGGCGCACATTTTGCCGATTTTTTATCCTCCTTTCCCATGCGCCTGAATACAAGATGGCAAAGCTGGGATAACGGGGAGCTAATTTTGCAGCCGTGGAAATGGTTGAAGTTATTTGATCCTCATCGTATGTTGGCTCTCAGCTACGGTACTGTTCACAAAATACTTGTAGCAATATACTTTCTCGAGTCATAATACATAAATTGTGGAGCCAGGTTGTTTTTCTGCAATATGTTGACATGGATGACAGTTCATATTAAAGGAAATATGTCACTTTTTCTCTAAATAGTCCACCATCCATGAACAGATGACCAGGAGTGCCCCCACCGCAGTCCCAGCGACGCACAGAACCTTACGTTAAAACGCAGAAAACAAAAAAGTGTCCCCGAATCCCATCCGTATCCTTGCCATAGTATTCTACGACTCACCTCACAATCACCTCAACTGAAAAGCCACGATGTCTGTGGACCTTGCTCTATGCATAAATAAATAGTCAGATAGCTGTTTAAACCCTCGCATTCGTACTCACAGAGGGTCGAACGGACTTCCCTCGGTTTTTCGCGAATAACTCGCGCAAAAAGCGGCCGATCGCGATGAAACTTTTAGTACCTACCCTCGAGTTGATCAATTTTTCACCTAGGTACTCTAAAAAATTTATGACCCTGGCCCAAGTGACCTTTGTCCTGTCACCTATTTCTCTAGACCATGTTTGGCCAGAATTACGATTCGGCGTATGTCGGCTCACATTTTCCGCGCGTTTGCAGTCTTTTTGTAGTTTTAATTTTAACCGTTCAAACACGTGAAATCAGGGGTGTCATTTGGGGGCCCTCAGACTCCCCCCTCCCCATAATGCTGAGTTCGGCCTCCTCAATGCTGCTCTCGCCCCCCTCCCCCAAGGTTTTTCTCAGATTCTCGCACTTCAGCAACACCTATACGTAGGTATCCATACAACGTTAGATATTCTTGTTCTCAGTGGCTTCGTGCTTCGAAATACGTTAACCCGCGCGGGGCTGGGGTCTCCAGCCGAACGCGCGGGGCTGGGGGGGGTAAATTTTACCCCCCTGTTATCTCCCGAACTAATGGTCCGATTTAGAAAATTCAAACGCCAATCGAAAGCTCTCATCACGAACTACTAAAAACATGTACTTAATGTAAAGTTTGAGGTCAAGGCCAAGGTCAGGTCAAGGGTACAAATTGCAAGTTTCTACAGTATCGGCCTTGCACCGTAGTTGCCGAAGAATGGAGTCATGGACTGAGACTGATCGCCCAAAACGTGTTCTTAGGCTACCAAGACAATATTTGTTGCATACAATATCATTCAGAGGTCAAGGTCAAGGTCAGGTCAGGTCAGGTCAGGTCACCAAAAAACAAAATATAGAAAAGGGCATGTGCGACACATGTTTTATGGGTCATTTTACTCATAGAATTCAATAGGCACACTCAATAAGTGATATGGACCACCTCTGGATGAATTTCAGGTCGAGGTCAGGTCAAGGTCAGGTCAAGTGAGGTCAAATTTTGAAGTTGGTTGTTAAAGCCTAAAAAGGTGTCTATCTGATGCAGTTTTTCAAGGCGAATCGAATGGTGCTATTTTTGTTTCCGTACCAGGTCTAGAACTTCCAAAAAAGTCATTTTTCAAAAAATTTGTGTGTCGTGACGTCATAAAATTTTGAATAACTCCCACATTTTTGAACCGATTCTTCTAAAATTTGGTATGTAGGTGCACATAGACCACTTCTCTGACATATATTCCGTTTTTTTTTTATAGACTCAAAATTTTGGATTTTATAATGATTTTCCCAAAAAGTCAGTTTTTTTAAAATTTAGGCCAAAATCCAAAAGTTTCAAAAAACCGAGATAGCCATTTGATAGACAAAGTAAAATTACGTATAACCTTTTTTGTTACGTCTTGATTCCTTTAAAAATGAAGATGTTAGCGGCGTTTGAACTTTTGCCGTTTTTGAGGCGAAAATGGCGAACATGACGTCACTAAAACGTCAATTTCTCAAAAATTTTCCGACGGATTTCGCTCAAATTTTCAGGGAACGTGTCAAATTGATGTAAGAAAAGGTACTGAAAGTTTGGCGGCGCTGCGCGCCGCCGTTTTTGAGATATCGCAAAAATTCGCGAGGGGGGGTAAAATTTACCCCCCCCCCCAGCCCCGCGCGGGTTAAGTCCCATGCTCGTCAAGTTTTTCCTCGATTTGGTAACAATTATCTTACCACGGATTATCATGACATGCTGCGAGTTTAGCGAAGTGCGAAACCACGTCGAGCTATTGGGCTTCTGCTTGGCGTTCTGTGGGAGGTCGCAAATGTTTTAATTTGGACGCCGCATCTGGACGCCGCGCTGGGCTGGCCGGCATGCTATCGGCGGCTGGAGAGAGACGGCGAGGGGGCACTTTGGCAGGTGTTCTTTGTTCTTATATTTTTCGTTGACAGGTGCTGCCGCCAGCGCCAAACGCTGGCGCGGAGACATATCACTTGAATATAGGTAATGCATAATGCATGTGCCACTCGGTGGTTAGTTACAGCTGAAGCTCACTGGCGGATCCAGGAGGGAGTATTTAGGGCCAAGCCCCCAGCCCGTTTGTGGTATACAGATGTTACAGAAGATATTACTCAGTGAGCATCTATTTAATTGGCCTGTGCAGAGGCTTTCCCTGCTAATGTATTTTGGACCCCGCTTGCGCGTGCACACGTGCAGAATGCCGCTTCCAGATCTCAGGAACGGCTGGGCCGACTGTGTTCAAATTTGGCACACCGCTAGCGACCGTTTAGAAGGGTGCTTTGCACAAGCCCGTTGGAAGTATGTACCAAGATTCCAAAGATAAGGGAAGTATCTTCCGCACGCCCTTCCGCACGTGCAGGGCTGCACTATCTCGCTCGTTCTTCGCCCAAAAGGCGTTTTACTGCAGGTGATTATCCCACTCATCCCACCAATTTAAGCATAAGTACCATTTTACTCATAAATTAAGCACTTGAGCGTAAAAATATCATACGTCGTTAAATGTAGTGCCGATCGGGGCCTCGTCTAAGGAATTTTCACTGGGGGGGGGCAAGAGACTGAAGGAGTCGAACCTAGTGCACCCCTAAATCCTGTTTTGTCACCGAATTTAGCCTACATTCTTTTCGTCACAGCTGTGACACTATTTTGTTGTTGTTTTTTATGGAAATTATACTGAAAAAAAAACTGAAAACATAGGGCACCCGAGCCATGCCTTAAAGGGACACTCCCACCTTAACATTAGTTTTGAGTTGAGATAGCCAAATTGGTGGCCATGGCCTGCAAATACCGGTTTGGGCACTCACAACATCGACAAATGCTTTAATTCGGAGATATGGAATTTCAAACTTGCAGTTTTCGGATTCTAAGGGGCTAGTGCATTGGTATGCCCCCTTAGAATTTGTGACGTCAGCGGAGATCTAACGATTTTTAAATCTTTTACTAAAACGTTTGGTAGCACGCGGTGGTATATGCTGCTTTGCGCGCAACAAATGCCGCACTTTCAAATAAAGTCGCTAGGAACAGCGGAGATCCCAAAAAGTAAACAAAAGTAAAAGTCTAATATCTTGAAAACCGGTGAATATTTTTCGATGAAATTTGGTAGATATTCGTTTTCGCTCTTTCTGAACCGAGCGACATCACTTTCGTGCCAATTCATTATTTTTTATGAAGGTGGGAGGGTCCCTTTAACATTAGTTTGCTATCCCCTTACATTGTCCCAGCAGATAGTGATAAGCATACTTCTCCGTGTTGGGCGTTTGATTGAGTGGCAGCAAGTGGCAGGGCGCGGCCTCGTTAAATAAAAATCACAAGATGAAGAGACGTTAACGACGTTAACCCTCGCCGGCACAGGGGGGTTGATGCAACCCCCGTGAGGTTTTTTTGCGAATAACTTGCGTACAAAGCGGCCTATCGCAACGAAACTTGCAGTACCCTCGCGTTGATCAATTTGACACCTACCCTGAAGATTTCATGACCCTGACACAAATGACCTTTGACCCGTGACCTATTTTCCGAGACCATGTTTGGCCAGAATCGCGATTCGTCGTATGTCGGCTCGCCGTAGCGGCGTTTGCAGTCTTTTGGTGGTTTCAAGCGTTCAAACATGTGATTTGATGTTGCTCCCATGCATTAGGGTGGGTGTCAAGGTCACCGGAAGGTCAGGTCAGGTCACTAACCTTTGCTGACCTCGGTTCACTTTTTCGAGTTTTATATCTTACTAGGCTAGTTTTTGGAGCTGAATTCGAATTTAGCAACCATTTAAACATTTACAATGTATCTCTAAAAAGTTAATTGTTTTCAAAACGGGCGCTGAGGAAAACTATATATTATAACCAAATATTTCGGCTTTATTGCTCAGCCTTGTTCACTGGTTCGAAATACATTTTTCTCAAAAACATGACCTAAAAATTCAAATATTCATATCGTGCCGTCAGTGATGACGATCTTCTAGCTTACGAAAAACCGAACAAATGAATCGTGGTGAAACACATTTCAAGGCACACTGTAACAGGTCGCACAGACACCTCAGCAACAGCTCAGCATGCCTACTCATGCAACAAATCATTAAATCCAAGAGACGCGAAAACATTGGCAGTTGAAAGAAACTGGAAG